GAAAAACAGCGAGACAGGCGAAAAGACTACTTCCGCAAATGTTCAAGTCGCAGATCTTAAACTTGCTGGCTCAACATCAAAGCATTCCAAATCGCTCGAATTAGTAGCTGGTGATGTGAAGACTGGATTCAAGCAAGAGAAAAACAGTGAGACAGGCGAAAAGACTACTTCCGCAAATGTTCAAGTCGCAGATCTTAAACTTGCTGGTTCAACATCGAAACAATCCAACTCACTCGACTTTGCACCTGGTAATGTAAAGACTGGATTTAAGCAAGAGACAAACACAGAGACAGGCGAAAAGACGACTTCGACAATTGTTCAAGTCGCAGATCTTAAACTTGCTGGTTCAGCATCAAAGCATTACAAATCACTCCACTTTGCAGCTGGTGATGTGAAGACTGGACTTAAGCGAGAGAAAAACAGCGAAACAGGCGAAAAGACCACTTTCGCAAATGTTCAAGTCGCAGATCTTAAACTTGCTGGTTCAACATCAAAGCATGCAAAGCACATCAAAGCACTCCACTTTGCAGCTGGTGATGTGAAGACTGGATTTAAGCTAGAGAAAAACAGAGAGACAGGCGAAGAGATTACTTCCGCAAATGTTCAAGTCGCAGATCTTAAACTTGCTGGTTTAACATCGAAGCATTCCAAATCGCTCGACTTAGCAGTTGGTGATGTGAAGACTGGATTTAAGCTAGAGAAAAACAGCGAGACAGGCGAAAAGACCACTTCCGCAAATGTTCAAGTCGCAGATCTTAAACTTGCTGCTTCAACATCAAAGCATTCCAAATCACTCGACTTTGTAGCTGGTGATGTGAAGACTGGATTTAAGCGAGAGAAAAACAGCGAGACCTGCGAAAAGACCACCTCGGCAAATGTTCAAGTCGCAGATCTTAAACTTGCTGGTTTAACATCAAAGCATTTCAAATCGCTCGACTTTGCAGCTGGTGATGTGAAGACTGGATTTAAGCACGAGACAAACAGCGAGACAGGCGGAAAGACCACTTCGGCAATTGCTCAAGTCGCAAATCTGAAATTTGCTGGTTCAACATCAAAGCATTCCAAATCGTCCGACTTTGCAGCTGGTGATGTGAAGACTGGATTTCAGGGAAAGACAAATGTCCTGACTGGAGAGACAACGACATCTGCAAGTTTTAAGGCGGGTGACTTCCAAGTTGGTGGCATTACCTCTGAGAAGTCCAAATCATTGGTTATGAAAGCAGGTGATGTCGCAACTGGCGTTCAGCAACAGACAAATGTCCTGACTGGAGAGACAACGACATCTGCAAGTTTTAAGGCGGCTGACTTCCAAGTTGCTGCTTCTACCTCTGAGAAGTCCAAATCATTGGTTATGAAAGCAGGTGATGTTGCAACTTTCGTTCAGCAACAGACAAATGCTGTCAGTGGAGAGTGAACGGTATAATCAATGCCCTGACTTGACGACATAAGCAGGTTTAAATGGATTTCGGGACCTGTTTTAACGGAAGAGCTAAACGAGTTTGACGATCTCGGAAATCCGTTTTAGTTTTGCGTCTTATTTATTAAGTTCTTCCAACTGTTTTGATGCAGTCATAGAGCAATCACGTATTTACTTTCCACACTGAACTGAACACTTCTCTAATCAGAGTCGTCCACTCTAGTTAAAGTTGTAAATTACGGAAACTTTTATCTGCGTGTTACTAGAAATAATATAGTGTGACAAGAAAAGTGTAACCTAAGTGATATTGTTGATATCATTAGTATTTTAATGTAGAGGCCATTGTTTTTCAGGCTCAAGTTCGATTTAGTAGTTCATGATATACAATAAAATTCCGCAAGTACAGTCCTGTATTTTCGCAAGTTATCCTAAACAGGTTCTTAGATAATTGGTAATTAACACAAATTTAGGCTGCGTATGTTCTTAAGTAGAGGCTTATTTTCTGAAGAAACAAATTACCTTGTACTTAATAAAATTTAGTGCTACTAAGCCTATTCCTTTTATAAAATCTGCGTACCAACTTAGCATTTATGTAAAATGACTATAATAAGAAAAATTGAAGCACTGATCACATTAATTTTGGAGTTCTCTTTCAGAACGTAACATATACATGAACTGTGATACCTTTAGATTTTAAAAAATGAGAACCTGTTTCAAATTTGAAGCTAAATAGCCTCATGTATACACAAGGTCAAATTGGCAAACTATAGGCTAACAGGTTCTTAAAAACTAGGTTCTTACTTGCAGGTTTTTACTCTATATCTACTATCCGTAGTTCAGTTTTCAATAATTAAAGATAATTAAAGAATGGCTTACAAATTTAGAAGTAAATGCAATGCTGTTCTATTTTTAAATGTAGTATTGCAGTTGATTGATATTCTCTCTTCCCTAGGTTAGTATTTGCGCCTATTGAGGAGTATTATCGCAATATGCATTGGATCTAATGACGGGATGCACTTTTCCATTTTTATTCTGTTTTCATTTTTATCTTTACACCTTACCCTAAAATGGCCGCCATTTTACTGTTCCGTCTTATTTTGCTGTCAATTTAGCCCCTTTTCCTTGTTCTTAAGCTCAAAATTCAAACAGAAAAGGTCTCGCTTGAATGAGGAGCGAAGGCCGCCTTTGAATGCCAACTTAGACCGAGTTCGTAAATGGAGGCCAATAAATTATTCTTTTGTCCTTATGCTAATTTTCTCACCGGCCTCGTTAGCATGTAAAACTCGAAAAGAATTTTTTCTTTCAAATGGGGCTAGATAGGAAAATTAGCCTGGAGAGAAGGAGAGGAAATTAGCAAAAGAAGAGAGCGGCCATTTATGAACTCGGTCTGTAATAACATACTAAAATGGTGGTCGGATGAGGTGTGTGAGTAAGTGTGTAACGGGACCGTGGGCCTTGCCTGTGTGGCAGGCGCGTGAAAGAGAAGGGGGGGGAATGGGCTGCGCCCGCGCGAAGCGAAAAGAGAGAGCGCGCGCACCCGGCCATTTCCTCCTTTTCTTCCCCTTTCTACATACAGCAAAATAATGAATTTATTTACAGCACAATCACCTTGCTCGGGCAGCAACTATAAAATGCGCTTTGTTTCTAGTGTTGGGGTCTTAAGTTCACTTTCGACGTAACGAAAGGGAAAACTTATAATTATACATCGGTGTGAGACGTTTGCGGAACAAACGAGAAAACAATGGAACGCTGAGTTTATTAAAACAAAGGAAGAAACAAAAGCGGTTTGTGGTCATCGAAACAAAGGGAGTAACAATAGTGCACCCTTTTCATTGTTTAGTTTGCCGCCTCCATCAGGCTAAAGAGCATTGCGGCGCGTTCATAGCAACCAATGAATAAGCCCTTTTGGGCGTCTGTGAATAATAACAGGCCATATGACATACCTATACGCTCTTTCCAACTGGAAGTAAATGTCACAAGAACAATAGCCATTCTACGCTATGAGAGCCTGCCACGCAGGCTACCATGGGCCCCGTTCCCCATTCCAGGCGATATTCAGCTGTATATTCAGCTGTATAATGCTCAGCTGTGTAATGCAAAGCTATTCCAGTGTGGCTATAAATCAGAAACCCAAGTGGTGTTCATTCCATAAAAGTTGTACCATTTTCCAGACCATATTTGATAGACTTTTAGATTCCTACCATTTACATTACGGACATGCTTCCAGTCTTTGAACGTATGCAATTTCCAATGTAAACTCTAAATATTTAGTAAACATCTTAGGAAAAACGATTTAGACTTTTCCTTAGCAGGTAATACGTTTGACGGCATTCATAAAACTAATTTAAGTGAAGTAAATTGGAATTAGGTTCGGCTACTTTAAGAGACGTTTTGTGTCAAAATCGGGCCTTAGTCCATCCTGCACCAGCGATAACGTTTGCTCAATCGATCGATCGCACAGTCAATAAAAATTTGCGAAAAATGGTATCTGCATGAGCACGCACCGCCCATCGTTGCTCTGCTGACTAAACTAAAGCGGGAAAAGGGGCAAGGGATTTGTATTGTATGTTTGAGTGGACCAAACATTTCAAATCAGCCAAGTTATTCAAGTCCTCACGAAGGAACTAAAGTAGCCAAGTAAATCCAGTAGGCCAAGAAAGTAATTAAAAAAACAAGCAACTAAATAAGGTATCATGAAGTATCTACCAACAACCCAGAAATCATTGCTTGCAATCATTGTAACATTTCTCGGTATATAGTTCGTGCCAGTATGCCATAAAGTCGCCCACCATTGCTCTCGGTGACTGAGGAAAGCCGTGAAAATGTAAGTACAATTTTCCACTTTGTCTCCATGTTGGAGATGGCTTTTGGTACATTCCATTATTAAATCTTAGAAAAAGCTTGGTAATTTTGTGATGCGATTAGTCATGAAGCAAAGGTGTCTCAGGTCACGTTGGTGTTGCCATAGGAATGATATTTAGTCCTTGGCTTAATTAATTAGCAAATAAAGAAGCCTCGACTGTGCTCTGTTCTGTTGTAAAGCACGCAGGAAGCGGTAGAGCACGAAAAAAGCGTAGGGGAAAACACGAGACGTATTCGAGTGTTTTTCTTGAGTGTTATACCGCTTCCTAAGTGCTTTACAACAGAACAGAGCACAGTCGAGGCTTCTTTATTTGTTTTGTGATAAGAATCCTTTAGTTTCCCCTCGCATTCGGCTAAATTTTCAAACCAAACTTTATTTTCCAAACGAGCAAAAGTGGCGTCAGCCGTGCAGTCAGACTGTTCGGAAATGGACGGCTCTGTTGAATATACTTAGAAGGTACTGTTTGTCCGACGTGTTTTAGTACAAAGCGAGTAATAAAATAAGGTATATTTAAGCTTTTATTATAAATGTAGGTGAGGGGGGGCGACATAATTTTTAAAAGATAAGGAGGGGGTCTGGGCTTACTTTGCCTTTGTTGGCAGGGGCACTACATACATAAAACATAACACCAAGAGATTATCAAGGTAAGAGTGAATCGCCCATATAGGCCCTCTAACTAAGGCGATCCCTCTTAAGGTCATTCCACTGAAATAGAACCTGCACTGAGATTTTATGAAACTTTGCCTATTGATTGTTTATATTTGCGTTCGACGAAGTGGAACGCAAACCTAATTTTGACCTGTGGCTTTTTCAGAGTTGGTGTCCCTGTGCACGGTTCTAGGCCGAAAAAACCACATTCCTGAGGACACCACCATGGCCACCCCGCTTAATTTTTGCAGGGGCATGTCACGGCCAGTAAACTGGTACCGTTTAATGCTAAGACATGTGATAAGAGATGTGGCGAACATGTGAGTATGTGAGCAGGCCATATGAGCTCGTCTTTCCGATGGAACTTTTTTTGACTTCTTTCCATTCAGTCGCCGCACACCTCGCTATTATGTGCTCTCAGCGATAGATTATGGCGAATTTAAACGCTTCAGCATTTATCGAAATCTGAGGGAACTGTCCTTGTTTATTAATACGACTTGGTTTTGGGATGATAACCGTGGGAACAGCTACATTTTGATTGCATTTGTTGATTCGTTCCAGTCGCGACAGATAGCTCAGTCTTTATCCGGTCGAAATTTTATTGTTTGGAATCGGTGGAAAAGTACTCTGAAGGCAGGATCCATAGGACTACTTTGTTCATCAGGGGAAATACTCGAATTAGTCGCACGGAGTTTGTTTACGATAAATGACCACGCGAAACGAGCAACCGACTGCAAATGCTAGCTTAGAATAATTTACGTAATTTAAACTACAGAAACTGGCAGCGTCACGCAAGGTATCAACAAATCGTAACCTCTTCACTAGCATGGACTTTGACACCATGCATATCTGACTGTAAAGCCTCAGTTGCTGCTGAAAAATGTTGATTTTAGCAATAGGCAAAGGTTAAAAGTTAAGACTAGGATGGAGGCCAAGCTTAAAAAGCCGCCCCAAATACTACACATGTGGTAGTATCTAAGCCATTA